CCTGTTTCTATTACCTTCTTCCCCCCCCCAAGTCTCTCATTCCTTCTCTGTCTCTGCCACTGTCCCTGGTGCTCATTTTTTCTGTCCCTAGGTCTCTGCATTGTCTCTTCTGGTCACTGTCTTCCTTGTTCTGTGGTGTTGTTGCCCCTCTTTCTTGCTCCTCTGTCTGTCTCCTCATTTCGAGACTGTGTCTTTCCCCTTCCCTTCTGTTCACCTCTGTCACTCTCTCTTTCTGCCTGCCCCTGCCTCCCCCACTGCCATTTGTTCTCTCTTGACTTGTGTCTTTTTTAAACTTAGAGATGTTTTCAAACACAGAATATTCTAACGAATCCTATGTGCCCATCATCCACCTTCAACTATGAGCCTTTCACCAATCTTTCTTCATCTGTTCTCCTCCAGTTGTTTTCTCAGTATTACTTTAAAGCAAATCCCGGTACACATGCCATTTCAACTCTAAATACTGAAGTGTGCATCTCTTAACTCATAAGGGTATTCACTTTTTAAGGTAACACCTCGGTCATTTTCACACCTAATAACATTAACACCTTAACACCATCCGTCACTGATTTCATAATCAGATTTCCCCAGTTGTCTTGAAACTGCTTCTGTTAGTTCTCTCTCTCTCGATTCTGCTCTGCTTCCACTGCTTCTTTGCCCAGCACCTCTGACTCTCTGTCTCTGCTCTGTCCCCACGTAGCCTTTCCGTGTCACCCTCTGATTTGGAGGCTGCTGATTTACTGCTGGTGTGGGGAGCGAGTGGGTGGAGAGAAGCATGGCTGTGGGGGGGACCCCGTCCTTGGGGAGCTCTCAGACCAGTGGGTCAGGAGAGGGGACTGGCTGGTAGCCCTTTGTCAGGCAGCTCCCCGGAGGAGGCAGGGCCTCGGGTGCCCAGCAGGCCTCGACACCCTCCCGTCTGCCCCGCCTTCTGCATCCAGGAGGATACACGGGCCCAGCGGCAGCGGCTGCAGAAGCACCTGGCTGAGCATCTACGCCAGACCTGGGGCCGACCGGGGGCTCCCCCACAAGCCCGAGACCTGGGAGAGCTGCTGCAGGCCTGGGGTGCAGGGGCCAGGACCGGTGCTTCCAAGGGCTCCCGCTTCACACACTCAGAGAAATTCACCTTCCATCCGGTGAGTGGGTCCAAGTGGACTCGGGTGGGCTGATAGGGCCGCTCTCTGTGCAGACGACACACTTTATCCACATAGGTTCCCGTGTTCCCACTGGGCGTGCCCTCTCTGCACTGGGGGTCCCCTGGCTCCTCAAGAGCTTCGGTGGAGAAGGGGGGAGGGGTGGGAACCATGTCAGGGTGTAGGGGTGCTCTTTGTGAAAACCCCAGCTTCCCTTGGACAGTTTCCCCTGGACACATCTTCTCTCCTTGACCTAGAGGGGCCCTCATCCTTCTCGTGGGCCCCCTTCTCGTGTCAGGGTCAGGGAGGTTTCTTTCTGAGCAAACAGTCCAGCCTGAGGTCTCAGAGAGTGCCTGGGTCCTCATAAACCCAGCCTGACAGCTGTCAGCAGTTGGGTGGACAGGAGCGTGGTGCTGGAAGGGCACTTGGAGCAGGTGCTGAGGCTGGGAGGGGCAGGGCCTTCTCCGACGGCCAGGATACCCCCGTCTCCCTCCCCCAGGAGCCCGAGGTCCAGGCAGCCCAGGTGTGTGATGTGCCAGCCACCTCCCAGCGGCCTGAACAGGTAAGCCGAGCCGTGGCGGGGGTTCTGGGCCCTTGCCCCGCCTAGTGGGCCTCACACCCCCACCCCTACTGGCCTGTGCCTCCCAGGACACGAGGGCAGCTCAAGAGAAGGAGCTGGAGTCTCTTCGGGAACAGCTGGAGGGAGTGAACCGCAACATCGAAGAGGTCGAAGCCAACATGAAGACCTTGGGAGTCAACCTTGTGCAGGTGGGAGGTGGGGGTGGGGGAGGGGCTGCCCCCTGGGTTTGGGTCATGGTGGGGCCTAGAGGGCCTAGAGGGCCTTGAAGGGACTGAGAGGACGTCGTGGAGGTCTGCCGACGTCAGAAGGGTTCAGAGGCGACCTCGGGGACCTGTGGGCTCTCGAGGGTTGAGGAGAATCAGTGGGGGTGACGGGGATATAGGGTCAGGGGGGTCGGACCTGTGGGGGTTAGGGGCACCCGTGGGCATCGGTCAGGACATGTGGGTGTCTGTGAGAATCAGGAGGGGTGTGAGCATCTGTGGGCATCTGTGGGCGTATGACGGACCTGTCTGGGCAGGGGCTTGTGGGCCTTGTCAGGGCTTCCTGGGGGGGGGGGTGTCATTGTGGAGGTAGAGGGATCAGAGGGGGGCCTGTGGGTGTCTGTCACTGCTTATAGGTTTCTGTCACCATCAGGAGGGGTCAAGGGGCTGCTAGAGGGTAGAGGGGTGTGTTCTCGTCTGTGGGGGCTCAGGCTAGGCCAGGGCTTTCCAGGCTCGGTGGGGCCTAGAGGGCTGTGGTGTGTGGCTGGGCCCCTCCACTGACGGGAGTGGGGGTCATGGGCTGCCAGGTGGAGACGGAGCGTCGGCAGAGCGAGCTCAGCACGGCGGAGCGTGAGCAGGCCCTGCGCTTGAAGAGCCGGGCGGTGGAGCTGCTGCCCGACGGGGCTGCCAACCTGGCCAAGCTGCAGGTGGGGCTGGCACTGGGGCTGGGCGGGGCGGCTCGAGTTGGAAGGGTGCAGCCTGTGTGACACAGATCCCCTACCCCCCCACCCCAGCTCGTGGTGGAGAGTAGCGCCCAGCGGGTCATCCACTTGGCAGGTCAGTGGGAAAAGCACCGGGTCCCTCTCCTGGCTGAGTACCGCCACCTCCGAAAGCTCCAGGATTGCAGAGAGGTAGGTTGTGGGGTCCTGGGCTGTGGGCGGGGTGGGTTCGGTCCCTCCCTGGGGGGCCATCCTTGTGCTGTGCTCACTCTCCCTCTGCCCATGGGGTCCTGGCAGCTGGAATCTTCTCGACGGCTGGCAGAGATCCAGGAGCTGCACCAGAGTGTTCGAGCAGCTGCCGAAGAGGCCCGCAGGAAGGAGGAGGCCTACAAGCAGCTGGTAAGGGCCGTGCAGGGGCCCCGGGTGGCTCCGAGTGGGCGGGGGGCTGGGTCCCAGGGGAATGTCTGCTGTGTTCCTGTCTAGGTGTCAGAGCTGGAGACCCTGCCTAGAGACGTGTCCCGGCTGGCCTATACCCAGCGCATCCTGGAGATTGTGGGCAACATCCGGAAGCAGAAGGAAGAGATCACTAAGGTGCATTGCTGCGGCCATGGAGGGTTGGGGCAGACGGGCAGACACGCGCGAGGGGCAGGTGCGTGTAGCACGGCCACGTGGGGACCTCACACCCTCCGAAAGGCAGAGCTGCCTGGCCACGCCCCAACACGGAACCCTCCTACCCAGCCCACTCCAGCCACAGCTGACGCGGTGGCGCAGGCCCCGTCTGGGTGTGAGCGCGCGCACACGACTCTGCCCTCAGCCGGCCGGCCCGGGCCGCACGTGGGCTCATGGCTGCCCTGTTCTCTGCCAGATCTTGTCCGACACAAAGGAGCTTCAGAAGGAAATCAACTCCCTGTCGGGGAAGCTGGACCGGACGTTTGCTGTGACCGATGAGCTCGTGTTCAAGGTGTGGGCTTGGCTGGGCCGGGTCGGGGGGATGCAGGGGGCAGGCTGGGCTCCCGCCTGCCTATCTGCTCACAGGTTGGCTTGGGCCTCGGCCCGGTGCGAGCCGTGTAGGTACACTGCGGCTCGGGCCTGGCTGTGCGCCACAGAGGACGAAGTCAGGGAAGTGGGAGAGGGTGGCCCTGTGGGGGTCCTGGAGGGGGTATGTGGGGGGGCGTGGGGGAAGCCCACTGGTCCCTTCTGTCTGGTCAGGATGCCAAGAAGGATGATGCCGTTCGGAAGGCATACAAGTATCTAGCTGCCCTGCACGAGGTGGGTGACGCGTGAGGGGTGCTGGCCGGGGTGGGGCGTGGTGGGGGTGCAAGCCTTCTGCTCCTGCCGTCCCCAGAACTGCAGCCAGCTCATCCAGACCATCGAGGATACAGGCACAATCATGCGGGAAGTTCGAGACCTTGAGGAGCAGGTGAGGCCTGGGGGTAGGAGGGGAAACCAAGGCAGGCCAGTGGACAGCACCTTGGTTTACGCCCAGAGGGGCTGTGGGAGCAGACACAGCCTATGGCTGGACTCTCAGCCTTGCCCCATAGTAGCTGTGTGTGTGACCTGGCACTGGCCAGCAGCCTCCTCTGAGCCCTAGCTTCCACCCCGAAGGTCCTCACACCTGCCTCCCTGGGCCATTGGCAGAGGCTTCAGCCAGAGTATGTGGTGGCTCATGCTGCCACGTTAGCAAATGGTGCTTTAGGCAAACAGATGACACATGCAAAGGCCCGGTGGTAGGGCACAGCACACTGTTGTGGGAGGAGGGTGGGAGGAGCACGGGAGGGACCTCGAGCGGCCTTAATGGAGATGGGGTGGCAAGCAGGAGCTGGGACAGGGGCCCCGCACACAGAAGGTGTGTGATTCGTGTTGCCTTAGATTGAGACGGAGATGGGGAAGAAGACCCTCAGCAACCTGGAGAAGATCCGCGAGGACTACCGAGCCCTTCGCCAGGAGAACGCTGGCCTCCTGGGGCGGGTCCGGGAGGCCTGAGGAGCCCCCAGCACCGGTCTGCACCTGGCCTCGGGCAGGGAGTTGGGATGTCGGGGGCAATGGCCAAGCGCTTGCCCTAGCCGTTCCCTCTGTTGGCTGCGCTCCTCCTGCTACGGCCTTGGCCCCAGACCCCCGCCCACCTGACCCCAACTCTGATCTGGGGTCCAGAACGTGGGAACTCGGCTGCAGTTTATTGGAGAGGGCACTGGGGTTAGGACCTTGGATCCCAAATAAACGAGGGGCTCTGTCTGCAGTCTAAGCTGAGGCCTGGATGGAGACACAGGGTTCAGGGCCAGGGAGGTGCGGCGGGCGGCAGGTGAGACATGGGATCTGTTCGGCGATTCCGTGTGTGTGGCTGTGAAAGCCCACGTGGGACTCCGGAGACCCACTGGGGTGCCAAGTGCGTGTGCATGACATGAGATGCACAGGTGTGTTCTCGTGGGCTGCGTGAGCAAGCTGATGTTTTGGGGGCTGCGTGAGAATGTGCATGACTGGGGTGTGTTTGTGTGGCTTTTTGGGACGTGAGATCCTGAAGGTACCAAGGCTGCTTCTGGGCGGGGTCCTGGGCACAGCGCAGGTGAGGGCAGGGTGGGGGGGATGGCCGTGGGTGTGTGGGTTGACAGGACTGTGCTCAGGTATGATTGTCTGCGGGACTGCGGAGTTGAGGTTGCCCGAGGGTACTGAGGCAGGCTCTTTGTACTGTGTCCAAGGGACAGGGTTGTGGCTGTGTGTGTGTCTTGTCCAGCCCTGAGGTCATCTCTGAGAGCGACTGAGGCAGGCTGTGTGTGCTTGGTTGTGAAGGCTCAGTTTGGCTAAAGAGCTTGTTGCAGGAAGGTGGGCCGGGGGGCCGGGGCCCCTCTGAGCAGCCTTGGTGCAGAGCATACGATCTAGAAGGGTGGTCAGCTGAGGATCAGGGTCCCTGGCAGGCAAGACTGTGCACACCTCACTTCTTGGTCCCTGTGGGCACGTCCAGGGCCCGTCACCCCTGCCCCCGGCCACTTCCACCCCCCATTTTGGCCCCTGTCCTTCCTTCCTCCTTTCCTTGGTTTTGAGGTCAGGGGCCGGGTGTGGGGTTGGCGCTCCTGCTGGGCCTCTGGCTCCTCTTCTTGCGGAACTCGAACTCATCCACGGTCCACACGGCCCCCTTCTCGCTCTCCACCCGCACGAAGCACTTGTGCAGGCTCAGGTTGTGGCGGATGGCGTTCTGCGGGAGGAAGGCCCGCCGGGCCGGGGGCGGGGGGTGGGTAGGCAGTCACTCTGACGTCAGCAGGACTCACCCCAAACCGGCCTCCCGCCCCTTTCCAACGTGTCTACAAGCCCGCCCCCCACTCCTGAGCTTGGCCCAGCACCCCAGTGGCATCGGAGGCCCCCCCAGCCACTGCCACTTCCAGAGGAGCCTACCTTCCAGGTGGCAGGGTGGTTCCTGAAGAAGGCAAACATGCGTGTGAACCAGTGGTAGATCTCGTTGAGTGTCCGCTGCTTCTCGGGAGCCTCCAGGATGGCCTGGAGGTTAGGGGGTCAGGGGGTCAGGGAGTCCCTTCCCCAAAGCTGGGCTGAGAGTGGCAGTGGCCCACCCTGGGTGTCTGACATGGGTGGAACTGGGGGGGGGGCAGGGGAAGGGAGGGAGACGGTGTGAGGTGATAGGTTAGAGACAGGGTTAGAAAGAGGGTGAGGTGGAGGGTCAGGGCTGAGGTTGCAGTAAGGTCTGGTTCAGGGTAGGGCCAGGATTAGGTTAAAGGTCTGGGGTGGAGTTGGAGCTGGCCGCCTCCACAGAGGCAAGGTGTCAGGGTTCAGGAAGGTTGAAGGCCAGGAGTGGGGTCAAGTTAAGGATGTGGGAGGGGTAAAGGGCCAGGCAGAGTTAAAGGTCATCAGGGAAGGGGTTGGTTAAGGGTCTGGCTGGGGATGGACCGGGGCGAGTGGAGGGCTGACGGATGGGATGGCATTAGGGTCAGGAATCAGAGGCAGACCTAGCGATACCGTTATTTTCTGTGTCAGGCATGTGGTTAGATTCAAGGTCAAGAATAAGGTTGGATGTGTGTGGTCGTTAAGGGTCAGGGCTTGTGTTAGGTGTGGAGTGAGGCTAAAGGTCAGGGAATTGGATCTGTTTGGATTTAGGAGTGGGGTTAAGCAAAGGGTCAGAGATTATGGCTGCAGTGAGGTTCTGGGTCAGGATGGGGCTAGGTAGGGGAATGCGTGGTATTGTGTAGGGGTTAGGTGTGGGCCTAGGGTCAAGGTCTGGGCAGGCTGTGATGAAAGTTCTGGGCAGCCATTAGGGAGATTCAGATGAAGGGGTTGGGATGGGGTGAGGCCAAGGGTCAGATAGGTGTCACAAGGAAGGGGTTAGAGGCAGGGTCCTGCCAAGGGATGTGTTGGCGTATTGGGGTATATGGGGGCCAGGGAAGGAGTTAGGATAGTGTCTGTGGTGGGTTTAGGGCAAGGGGCAAAGATCAGGTTCATCTGGGGGCTATTTTACAGATCTAGGAGGGGGTTAAGTATGGGGTCGAGGTGGGCATCAGGGAAGGGGGGTGGGTGGAGGGCCAGAATTTGACTCGCACTGGCCTGGATAGTGGTTTCTGTTTGGGTTGGTGGAGGGGCCAGGTCTGGAGTGAAGCCAGCTTGGCGGGGGGGATCCTATCGGAGGCCTGGGTTCATGAAGGAGCCTGTTCTGGGGGCGCTCAGAAGGAGGCTGGGAATGTGGGAGGCAGGTGCCCACCCCCCATTTCTTTTCCTTCTCCTTGGCCCATGCTGCCGGCTTACCCAGCGGATGAGGGTCGCGTAGGTGAAGGGGGGCCGCATGTTGTGGAACTTGAAGTAGTCCATGTTGTGGAAGAACTCTGTAGGGGGTGGGGGAGGATTGGGTCTGTCCTGGAGCTCCTAGCTCCCTCTCCCATCCCCCACGCTACAAGGAGAGGCTACCCAGCTGAAATCCCTCCCTGACAACACCAGTTTTCACCCTCACGGTTACTGTGCTGAGCGCTGGGCATTGACCGTATCATTTACTGCTTGCACCACTCCCACCAAAATGGGCCTCATCGTCCCCGAAGTTTAAAAGAAGTGAAGTAACTTGCACACCAAAGGGATGCAAGCGGCCAAGTGGCAGAGGCAGGATGACACTCAAGGGCCCCGATCCATCTTAAGCCCACAGCCCAGGCCTTGCGGGCGGCCCAGGATGCGTGAGCTTGGGAGAATCACCCCGCTTTTCCTTGGAGGGGGAAGGGAGAGTCCCTGGGAAGCGTTTAGCTAGTTCTCTCCCTTTTGACGACCGAATGGAGTAGCCGAAGCCCGGAATGAGTGAGCCCCCGGCCCCAGGGGAGATGGGGCTAGACAGGAGGAACCACAATGGCCGCGGGGGGCAGGTGGCGGTGCAGGGGGCTTGCAGGCCTTGGAAACGCTGAAAGGCAGCTTCTGCAAGCGGTCATGTTTTCCCAAAGGCTGGGTGGCAGTGCTGGGGAGGGTCGGTACTGGCTGTCTCCCACCCGGTGCCAGTCGGGGGGATGAGGGGCTCTGGGGGGGGGGCGGGGGGGCATCACATAGGGGCACGGGCCATCCTTACCCGGGAACGTGCTGTTTCCATGGCTGCCCCAGAGGTGCCTCCTCACAGCAAACAGGCCGTCGGGGGCCTCCTGGGGGCTGGGCCAGGCTGGGCCAGGGGCAGCCGGAGTACCTGCAGCTAGGATGCAGCAGGAGGAGCCCTTGTCCGATGACGCCTGTGGCGGGGGGGGGGGGGGGTGGTGAGGCTGGTGATTCAGAGGCTTATGTTTTCCACTTCAACTTTAGGTAAGTGTGGTTGGTTGGTTTGTGTTTAAAGCAAGTGAGCTCTTCTCAAGTCCAGTCTGATGCGGAATCTCACAAAGCAGCATTGAGCCGTATTTATTAGAGTGTGAGTGTGGACGCGCGCCCGTGTGTGTGGAGAGGCGCAATGCTGGGACCACGAGCTGGGGCTGAATCAGGCTCCCACCCCTTAGGGATGCTAGTAATTAATACCTATCCTGAGTGGCCTCATGAGGATTCGATAAACTCGCCCCAGCAGCGCACTCAGGAACGGTGCCTGGCCCCCGGGGCCGGCTTCACCGGTGTGTGGTCCGTGTAATCACACAGGTCCCTGCCCTTTGTTTACTGCTCTGTGGGGGTCATTTGAAACCGGGGCCCCATGATTTTATTGTGCGCTGGTTCCTGCGTGTCGTATGGCCAGTCCCACCAGCGGCACAGGGTCTGTGTCCAGTAGATGCTTGGCGATTTGCCGTTGTTTTGAAAACCCAAGATCATGATGTTTCGGGATCTTGGGGTCAGAGGGCTTGTAATCGGAGGGGACAGGTTTCCAGGCCTGGGCACGTTTGGAGCTGGGGACAGGGGCCCAGAGTCGTAGGGTGTGGGTGTGAGGCTAAGTCCCCGCCGCCCCCCGCCAGCCACCTGTGGGCCTGGGGTGGCTCACCGTGGCTGGAGCTTTGGTCGGGGCCATCTTCCCAGCCAGGTGGGCCTGCATAGCGCCCAGCTTCTCCTTCTCCAGCACCAGCTGTGAGGACGGGGCACAAAGTGAGGCCTCAGCTTGGCCTTTCTCTGCCACATCCTGGCTCAGGCTTGTGGTCCTTCCTGGGAGCGCCCTACCCCCTCCCTTCCTTTATGCCAGCCCCCATCCTGGGGGAGCTTGCCTCCTGGCACAGGGTGGACGTAAGGCTCGCCCATCATCCCCCAACCACCCCTCTCCTACGTCACCTGCTGTTCCAGAGACTGCACCACCTCCCTCTGGAGGAGACATTGTGCCCTGCCCTTCTCGTCTAGGAGATGGTCCGCCTGGCAGTGCCTGGGTAGGGGGAGATTCCATGTGGGTGACCACGGCGGGTCTGGCCTCCTGGCTCAACACTCCGAGTGAGGAGAGCCAGACCCTTTGGGAGGTCTCTCCTCGGAGGCTCAGCCTCCCTCCCCTCTCTCTACCTCAAGTCTCCCTCTTACACCCGCTGTTCCTTCAACACACGCTACTTGGCATCTCCTGGTGCCAGACCTGAGCTCGCCACTGGAGCCTGGCCAGGGTGCTGGAGACGATGTTGGAAGGCTGGCGAGCTGAGAGGTGGGGTGAGGTAGGCGAGGGCAGGAGAGGCACTCCAGGTGGAGGGGACAGTCTGTGTAAAGTCATGGTCATGAAGAGGACAGGGTGCAGAGTTGCCACCGATAGTTGGGTATGGTTGGAGAAGGGTTGTGTGTGTGTGTGTGTGTCTGTGCGCGCGCGTGCACGCGCGTGCGGTGGGACCGAGGGGAGGCAGCAAGAGCCACTGTGACAATCGGGGACTGTGGGTATCAATAAAATCAGGCTGGTGTGTTGGCAGGAGGGGTAGGGTAGCAGGGCAAAGCAGTTCGGAGTGTGGATTCTGGAGCCTGGCTGCCTGGATTCAAATCCCAGCTCTGTGACTTAGGAACTGGGTGGTTTTGATCAAGACACTTGACTTTTTATGGCCTCAGTTTCTGTATCTGTAAAATGGAGGTAGGTACTAGTATACACCTCTCTTATGATGCCCCATCACACGGATGGGAAAACCAAGGCCCAGAGAAGCTAAGTAACTTGCCCAAGATCACACAGCCAGTGATAGGACCGGGATTTGAACCTACGGTCTCAGCCTTAGCCTTTTGCCCACTGGGATGAGGCCTGAGCTGGGACCTGTACCACAGGCCTCCTCCCACACACTGGGGACCCTCCTGGACTGGACTGGGCCTGGGTCACTCACTTGAGGAAATCCTCTGGCTCCTCGAAGACCTTCTCACAACCGGGCCACTTGCAGACACCATTTGCCAGCAGCGAGTAGGAGCCCTGGGGCACGGTTGAAAGGGTGCTAGGGGGACAGAGGGTGTAAGGGGAGGCAACGGCAGGGCAAGGGTCCTTCCCAGCCTGATCCACTGACCTGTCTTTCCTGGGTGTGCCGGGGCTTGGGAAGGTGCAGAGTAAGGCTGGCTCCCTGGACACCCACTCCAGGCTGGTCACGTTGATCCCTGCAGGTAGGGACAGGGCACCTTTGGGGACCGTGGGCTGGGCCCTCAAGCTCAGCCCACAGAGACTCTCCTCTTGAGCTTCCCACCCTCCTGAGCCTCGAAGGCCCTGACTCCCAGGCGGCTCTGTCGGCCCTAACATCCAAGGCTTCTGGGGGAGCAGGTCAAAGACTGCCATTTGCAAGCGCTGACATTTTGACTGCAAAGACCCGCGGCTCTGTGATTTTTGCCATTCATTCTGCACCTTCAAGGTTCTGAGCCTGACATTTTTTGGAGGCTGGAGTTTCCCAGATGGTAAGCCCCGATGCGTCTGACCTCCTGAGGGCCGCCATTCAGCAGCCTACGTGGCTCCCGCTCAAGCACTGGGGGGCTCGGGGTTCTGTAGAGCTGTGGGGCGGGGTGTTACCAGGCGGCAGGCCGGGCCGGGCCTTGAGGGAGAAGACGCTGGCGGCAGCAGTGGGTGGCGGCAGGCTGATCATAGCTGGGCTGTCCAGTGGGCGTACCTGCAGCACCGGGGTCCGAGCGTGGGTGTTCACCGCTGAGAGCTGGGGGCACACGGGGGCTGTGGGTCAGCCTGTTCCCCCACCCCTCTGCCCAGTTCTCCCACCTGCTCCCGCCGCCCTGCCCATTCCGGGTCAGTACCTGGTGCATGAAGTGTGGCCTGTCCTGGAGGAGTGCCTGCAAGTGGGGTGAGGGGCCCAGCCGTGCCCCGGAGGGTGCCACCATGACTAGGGGCACTGTGGGCAGCTGGCAGGGGGGAGAGAGAAGGCAGGCGGGTGAGATGGCATCCTGATCCTCACTGTTCTACATGTCTAGTTCATACACTTCTCACCACAAACCCACACGGTAGGTACTCTGATCATCCCTGTTTTACATATGGGGAAACTGAGGCTCGGGGAGAGCGAATGACTCTTTCAAGATCAAACAGCTAATAAGTGGCAGAGCTGGCCTCAACCGTGTCACCTCCCCTCTTTGGGCACTAGCCCTCTCCCCTGTCACACGGGGATGGGGACACACGGCCACGCCTGTGGGACTGTGATAGGAGCTCCTCTCCTGGGGCCGGGATTGGGAGGCCAGGGAGAGCCTCGAATCTCTTGAGACCTGCTAACTGGGGACTTTCTTGGCCCTGCGACATCTGCATAAGTCACAGACTTGCCTGGGACCCAGAAAACCACTTCCTGTGCCCCAGCTGGGCCCCCCGCCCCGTGCCACAGTAAAGGTCGGCACCTGTAGGCCCAGGTACCCCGCCCTGCCTGCCCCATCCTGGGCCCTGGGCCTCACCTGCAGCTGCGATGGTGGCATGGGGTTCAAAGAGGAGGAGGTGGGGGCATGGGCCCCGCCTCGGAGGTCCCGGCCCTGGAAAGTTGCCCCCGGGCCCTTGGCCCCAAGCAGGTCTGAAGCCTTGGGTGCAGCCCTCCAGCTGGGCGAGGCTCCCGGGGATGGGCCAAGCGCCAAGGAAGGGGCCGAGGGCTTGGCTGGCCTGGGGTTGGGCATTGGGTCCTTGTCCAAGGGCAGGCTGTGGGGACATAGGGGGAAGGAGTTACACGTGTGCCCAGCGGGGGTGTGAACTGCTCAACCACCTGAACCATGTGGACCCCCCCCACTCTGGTCAGAGCAGGCATCGGTGGGGGCCTGTCCCCAAGGGCTCCACAGCTGGACCCCAGCTCCGATCAGGTGTACGTGTGGCACACACCCACGCATCCATCGGTGTCAGGAACACAGGTGTGCGCGTGTTTCTGTACATGTCCCGTGTGCAGACGTGCCCGGGTCCAGCACTCAGCCTGCCCGTGCGTGCTGGCAGAGCCCTGGTGGTGATGTGTCCTCCACGAGGGAGGTGGGGGATTGGGGTCATTTGTGGGGTCTCAGCCACGGGCAGGTCTCAGTTTTTTTTTGCCCCCAACCACTTAGGGCTTGTCTCCAAGCCTCAGCCCCCTGCTCCTCCCTGCACTCTGCACAGGCCCCAACCTCTGCTGATGCTGCTGGGACTGGTGTCTGACTCTCCTGGTGGCATTATTTTATCCCAGTGACCTGGCATCTACAAGGGTGGAGGGGGGCATGGACCCAAGATCCCTCTGGCTGCGGGGAGAGGGACAGAGTCCAGGAAGGCGACAGCAGGGGTACTGGCGAGGAGGCTGCTGTGACAGTCCAGGCAAGTGACAACGGTGGCGCAGACCAGGATGGTGCCAGTGGAGATGATGAGAAGTCGGTGGATCCTGAGTGGGCTTTGAAGGTGGAGTCAGGAGGATTTGCTCACAGCTTGGATGGGGTGGGGGGTGGCGAGAGGGGGAGGGTCAAGGTGACCTCTGGCCCGGTGTTTGCCTGAGCAGTCTGGAAGGACAGAGTGGACATCACCTGAGCTGAAGGGGAGCAAGGTTGGGGGCGACGATCCAGGTGTGGATGGACATGAAGAGTCTGGCGTTAGACACGCGAGTGGAAATCCTGAGTGGGCAGCAGAGTACGGGAATCTCTGGAGCTCGGGCAGGGGCAGGGTCTGATCATCTCTGGGCTCCTGCCTTGCACGAAGCTGACATGGCAAGTGTCGGGGAGGAGGGTTGGGCGCTCTTGAGCCAGGGCCCGTGGGAGCATCTTGACTCAGCCCCCGCCAGAGTTTACCCCAAGTCTGCTCTCCAAGCCTGCGCTCATGCTATATGGCCCTGCCTGGAATGTCTGCTCTTCCTCCGTATCCCCTATCCGGGCCCTATCCAGAAAGCCCTCCGTAATGGCTCCAGGCTCCTTCGCTGAGCCCCAGAACCGAACACTGCGACAGGCAGGGCTTCCGTTTCTCAGAATCCCAGTCTAAGAGGAAGCCGGAGCTGGAAGGGACTGCCTAGTCCAGCCACCATTTTACTGAAGGGGACACCCAGGTGCAGCGTTCCACAGTCCCACGGCAACCTGAGAGCTCCCTATGTTTCCCCAGAAAGTGTGTGTGTGTGTGTGTGTGTGACTCCCCACCCCACCCCACGGCACTGGGTCGGGCACACAGCGGCCAAGAGCGGCCCAAACTGGCACAAGGAGGGTTTAGGAGAGCAGTTGCACCTTCCTTTCTTTGCTGTCAGCTCACAGGGCCTGTCAGAGCTCTGGTGCGGAGGGGGGTGGGGGTGAGAATCCAGGTATTAAACTCATAGTCTCCCCGGGGAGCGTAGAACATTGCTGTGTGAGAAGCAAGAGCCTGGATCTATGGAGGCTCAGAACTCAGTGACCACGAGGAGGTGAGCAAATGAATGACGGCGGAGATCGGGGGTGAGGCTTCTAGAAGCCAAGGCATGCCAAAGACTGCCAGTAATCCACCAGTAGCTAGGAGGGAGGCACGGACAGATCCTCCCTTGTAGCCTCAGAAGGAACCAGCCCTGCCGACACCTTGATCTCGGACTTCTGGCCTCCAGAACTGTGAGACAATAAATTTCTGCTGTTTGAGCAGCCCCCTCCCCCCCCGCCCCCAGCTTGTGGTAATTTGTTACAGAAGCCTGAGTAAACGAATACCGACTTTGGTCCCCGCCACTCTGGCCTGGCCCACACGGCTGGCCCGTGGTCACTTCTGAAGCTGTCGGGACACTTGGCTGGGGCTTATAAGAAATCTCTTCCTCAAGCACATCTGGAATGTCCAGCCTCAGGGAAGCACAGGTACATTCTCAGAAAGGGGACATAGATATGGTCTGTCTGGTGGTGGGGAACCTGGAGGGCCGGGCTGGGCAGCCAGCTTCCTGCACTGTCTGTCGGGGCGTCCCTTTCTGACTGTTTCTCAGAAGCTGCATGGAGGATGTTTCTGGGACACAGAATGTGTTTTCATATCGGGGTCTGCATCTGGGCCCTGTTGTCACGTCCCCAGATTTTCCGCCATTGACGTCATGGCGGCCGGATGCGCTGGGCTTCATCGGCACCAAGGAGAAGCAGATACCCCACCCCACGGGTTTCGTTCCGAGAATTAGCTGGCCCATCCTGCAGCCATCTCGGCCCAGGTGGGAGTGATGTGGGTGCTTGCGGATGTGGTGAGTGACGTCCATCTGGCCACCATGACAAGTCCTGGGCCCTGTAGACTTGGGCCATGGAAAGGCCAAAGGTTTGATGCTTGGGGAGTACCATGCAGATCCTACAGCTACTGGGACCCTGGGGGTCTTCAAATGGTACTATGCCAGAACCTCAGAATCATAGAACATCATTTCTTAGGTTCAAAGGATCCCAGAATCTCAAACCCACTCTGTGGGGTCCATGGGTCCAACTTCACAGAAGGTGAAGGCCAATGTCAATGGTGTCCAAACTCACTGGAACTCCCTGAAGGACAGGCAGCTCACTACCCCATAGGGCCTCTGGCCCACCAGGCTTAGAATTGTAGCAAGACTCCCCTTAGCTTCCCTCCTAAGTTCTGTGACAGCAGGAGGGTCAGAATCATCTCCTCTACTCCCCCCAGCCTGGGGCTGGGCTCTGCACTAACTAGCTATAACTCCCCGCGGGCTCATATGTAAACCGGGACAGTAATCGTACCTCTTGTCCAAAGTTAATGCACATGAAATGCTTAACAAAATGTCAGTGATGGTAAATGAACACCTACAGGGCCTCAGTCTCCCTGTTTATTCTGGGACAATGTTCCCATACTCACAGCCATTCCACAAGAGATGGGGAGGGAAAGAGGGAGAGGTAGAGGCCAGCATGCCTCTGGCTAGGGCCTTATGGTGGGGAACAGGAAGAGCCTTGGCCAGTAGAGAGCCCGCTGCCAGGCTCTCTGGAGGGGCCCGAGGACAGACGTTCCCAGGACCAGTGCCAATTCTGGGGACACGGTTGAACTCTATCCACTGCATATCGCCCTTCAAGACTGATTGACTTATCCTTCCAGTATCACTACCCTCTGGCCACAAGGCCTTCTGACCCATGGGACCCTGGGACCCCACCCAGACTAGCTCTTGGGAGGTTGGGCCCCACACTGGCCCATGTGGCCACAGAGCCTCCTGCCTGAGTAAGGATCCAAGTTGTAAGAAGGCAGGAGGGGGAATGACAGCAGCTGGTGGTGGGGGGCAGCTCAGGTCCCCCTCCTCCCCTCATGGGTGCTGAGAAGTAAACGGAGGCCCACAGTGGGGGAGAGAGACAGAACCGGGGTCCCGCCAAGAGTCCCATGGTCTGAGCTTGGGTCTCAACTTTGCTACTCCATCCCTGGGAGGCCTTGGGAGAGGCCCTCCGGCCCATCTCCAGGCTTCAGTTTGCTCCTGTGTACACTGGGCAGAGAGAGGCTTGGAGCAGATGAGGGCCAGGGCCCTTCCACTTTGTGTCTGGGTGACCTGTTATGTGTCTGCAGGGCGTCGAGTCGACAACTGCCCCTCCATCCAGGGGACTGGCTGAGAGACAGGGATACATAGAGACAAAGAGACAGAAACAGAGAGAGACAGACAGATAGACACAGGGGAACACAAAGACCCAGAGAACAAGAGATACAGAGAGATGGGAGAAACATGAGGTGGGACAGAGATACACAGAGAGTGAGAGATGCTGAGAGAGAATGAGAGAGAGAGAGAATGGAGGGGAGAGGAACTCAAAGGAGCAGAAAGTCCTAGAAGTATACACAAGGAGGGAGAGAGAGGATGAGAGAAACAAAAAGAATAAGAGAACAGCACAGGGAGATGGAGAGAGGGAGAGAGAGTGAGAGATGCCCCAAATAGAGACAGAGATAGACAGAGGGAAACAGAAAGAGAGCGAGAGAGAGAGAGAGAGAGAGAGAGAGAGAGAGAGAGAGAAAGAGATGGATGCCTCAAACAAGAACAGTTGTTGATCTCTGGCTAGAGGAACTGAGGCTGCGTTAAATAACAAGGAAAAGTGAAGAGCAAGATGCTGAGGGGGGGGGCCTGTGGTCAGGGAATGTATTGTACTACAAAGCAACTGTCAGCAAAGTGGTATGGCTCAGACACTGAGGAACAGAACAAAACAGAAAGCTCAGTCACAGACCAACATCTAGAGAGAAGTGAGTTTGTGATGAATGTGGCATTTCAACCTGGGAGACAGTGAAGGATATACTATTTGACAAATGCTTCTGGGAACTTTAAGGGAAAAATAAAGTTAGTGAATGAATAATCAGTCCATTTTCCCACCAGTTCCTCTCTGCCCAGTTTGAAATGTCACCAATCATCATATACCCTGAAACACATTCCAGATCTATTAAAGAGATAAATAAGAATATCCAATAGTGCTCTTGGGTTTCTTGTATGTCAGGCCCTATGCTAAGCACTTAACGTGGTTAGTACATTTAATCCTCACAACAACTCTTTGAGGTAGGTGCTACTGTAATCATCACAGTCCATATGAGGAAATGAAGGTACAGACAAGTCAAACGCCAGGCTAAAAATCACACAGATGGCTTGGGGTGAGGTTGGGTTTGTCCCAGACAGTCTGGCTCCAGTACCCACACTCTTAACCTCCACAGCAAATGGAAAAAATGAAGCCATAGAAGAGACTAGAAGCCAACACAGGTGAACATTTATCTCATTTTCAAGTGGGAAAGGACTTTCTAAGCACAAAACCAGAGACAGTAACCACAGAAGAAAAGAGTAACCCATTTGACTATATAAAAACATCATAGTATCACAAAACTCCATAAACAAATAGAAACAGTGAGTGATGAATTGGGGGAAAATATCTGCTATACATGTATGGCTATTGGAAGGTTAATATCCTTTCTAAATAAAAAGCTGTGACAAATCAATAAGAAAAAATGATGAACACCCCATTGGGACTAAGGATATGACCAGACAACTTAAGAAAAAATACAAATGATGAATAAATAGTATAAGTAAATCAAAGAATGCAAATGTCAACAACGTGGTAATATTTTTTCTTACCTGGTATGCTGAGGGAGGATTTAAAAATGATAATACCCACCCAGGGTTAGCTTGAGTACAAGAAGCATATAACAGGACAGCCTTTTGGAAGAACGATATGCAGAGAGGGTCAGACACCTTAAAAATGCACACACCCCTTGTCCCAGCAACTCCATTTTCAGGAATCCAAGGAAGTAGTCAGGGATGATTATGGGGGAAAGAACTAGAAACAATCCAAATGTCCAGGAATTGGCATTTGGTCGAACCAATCGTGGTTCATACCAGTGTGAGGACAGTCTTGACAGCCATGAAAGATCCTATGTTGAAACAATTTTTAGTGATCTACAAAGACGCTCTTATTAATTGAATAAGGCAGGAAGAAAACCAATAGAGAGAGTGGTTCTAATTTGGTTAAAAAAAAAAAATACTAACAGCCAGCAGTGAGCGCTTGCTAAGCCTGCAGAGATGAGCTCGCCCCAGCCCTGAACAGCCTGCTTGGTTCCTGGACACGGACTCTGGAGACACACACACACACACACACACACACACACTCACGCACACATGGTCCAGGGGTAGGACCACACAGTTAAACTACGATTGACGGTGGCACAAAGTGCCCCCCAGGAGGTCCTCTTGTGCCATGCAAGCCCAAGTTCAACTGAGCGCTCAGCCTGACCTGACAGCTCACTATCCTCCTTCGATCGGGGCAAACAGAACTCTGGTAAAATGGAAATGTCCTCATCGACGTTACTCAATCCACTATTACTAGGCACCAATTGTACAGAGCTCTGTGCTGGAAGCTGGTGGGGGGGAAGGCTAGACAAGAGAGCAGGAGAGACAGTGGGAGAAAGACGGAGGAAAGGAGATAGAGGGAGCGTGGTGAAGATGGAGGAGACAGAGACAGGGAAGCTGGGCAGAGCCAGAGAAAGGGCGGTGGAGGGTCTGAGTGCCGGGGAAACGGTGGGCGGGTGGGGGGGGGGGGCGCAGAGCGACACGGAAAGAGGGAGACAGGGCGAGCAGACAGAGAGGGATGGGAGCTATCAAGAGACAAGAGGTGAAGAGGACGGAGGGGTGTAGTTGAAATTTCCAGTTACACCTGGGCAGTTTCAAGTTGTTCCAAGCTCTGAAATTTGTAAAGACTGGCAGTTGGCCTATTTAAAAAAAAAAAATCCTGCCCATCTACATAGCAATCAATTTATTTAACGTTGCCTCTGCCCACGCATCGATTAAGCACTTTCCCAGTCTGCCGGCATTTATTATTACTATTATTATTGTAAAAAAAAATCTCTTACCTGGCTGAGCCGCAGGAGCTGTGTGTGTCTTGACGGTTAACGGAGGGCCCCCAACCCCCCCCTCCCCGGCCCGTGCCTGCCTCACTAACCATCTCCTCCACTGGACCCGCATCTGATGGAGGAGAGCGGGGACACTCACCTTGGTGAAGTGGACTGACAGAAAAGGATCAGCCTGGCTTGTGGGAAACTGTCACATATCAAAAACAACTTTGCTTTTATACCGAGAAGAAAAACCACGGTGTGGAAGCCACAGACCTCTCTCTCTCTTCTAATAATCCAATTTTTTTTTTTTCGATGAGTGTGTGTGCTGATAATCACGGGGTGGGGGGGGTTCTCATAGTTTTTTCTCTCTCTTGCTCTCTCTCTCTCTCTCTCTCTCTCTTGCGTGCTCTGTTTCTCCTCTTCTTGATTATGAGACTTAAACGGAAATTTTGAAATTTTGGGTTTTTTCTTTGCCCTTTACGAGTCATCTGAAAATATGATTTCTTCCTCTTGCCACAGAGGTGAGAGGTATCAATGAGATAACAGGGCTCATGAGAAACCACAGTTTTTTACACAAAAGTGTGTAGAGTTAGAAAAAAAAAAAAAAACAAGGGAAAAAAAAAAAAAAACTCAAATAAATCACGGAGGTGTCCCAAGCAGGCAGAGGTACCACTCTGTGAATGTGATGGGACGGGAAAAAAAACAGGGAAAGAAACTGAATAGGGCTGGGTTTCCAGAGGCTTTGCCCTGCTCCATGCCTGTTTCCCCTTAGGTAGAATTGATGGTCATCACTGCTCTTACTGCCCAAGGAGGGGGAGCTCTGCAATCCATCTCCCCACAGAGGGGGGCATGGAAGTTATTTCACAGGGGAAAATGCACAAGTCACAGAATCTAACAGTCTGAGAATTACTGCCTCCCAGAATCCACTTAGCATCACTGAGTGAGGAGAGGGAGAAAAGTCTTGCCTTATAACATCATAGGGCCTGAGAGCTCTAACCTGGAGGGTACCCTACAGGGAAGGTCCTGATGAGGCCCCCGGTGTTAATGCATCCGTCCTCATGAAGCCCAGAGGCCCCTTAGGGCCCCGACCCTCTCCTAGTCAGGGACACCATGACCTGATGCTTCTGAGGCCCTCAGCCTTTGCGATTTTCTACTTTGAAAAATCCCAGTTTCCAAGGTTTTCAGATGCCATATATCCATCATCATCCCCATAGCTGACATTTATCTCCAATTTTCCACGAGCCAGACACCGTGCTGGACAATTCTCCCAAGTGATCACATTCAATCCTCACCACAGCCCTTTGCGGTCCATCTTGTCATCATGGCCGTTATACAGATGGGGAAAACAGAGGCGCGAAGTAGTCGAGTGACTTGCCCAAGATGACAGAGCTGGCAAGTGGGGGCTCTGCCTTCTTTGGTGCTGGGCGGGCTTAAAAACCCCCAGGTTTCCTTGGGCCAAACAGTCTTGGGTCTTAAATTCTAGGCTGCAGTGACAGGGAAGTTCTGAGATTTGGAGATTCCTCTGGGGGCTTGAAGCTTGTGAGGTTTTATGGTTGTCCAAGAATTGGTGCTGCATTTCCATACTTGAGCAGTAGCCCCCTTTAACCAGTGGTCAGCAGGGGAGACCGGGCCCCAGGGGCTTCTCCTGAGAGGTCATGGCTGCCGCTCCCAGCCCCCGGCTCCTCAGCGCCCTGCATGGCCCAGGGTTCTGTCATCCAACGTCTACTCCAAGCCCTCTGCAAGACTGGCTTCAGGCCTGGGGGAGAGAAATTGGAAACCGCTTTTTATTCACATGGTACCAACCTAGTGGCCAAGACCCACCCCTTTGCCCCTTCACCTTCCCCGCTCCCCCCCACCCACTTCCCAAGCCCTGAAAAAAAGGAGAGCCTCTTTCCTTAACTCTGACTCACCTTTCTGGAAAAGCCCAGAGGGGGCCTGATGGTCTGGCTTTGTGAAGATAAGAAAAAAAAAAAAAAAAAAAAGGTGAATAGAAAAAAAAAAGACCTAAAAAAAAATCAGCCAACAACAATTAAAAAAAAAAAACAAAAAAAAACCCAACCCTCCCTACCATTAGTTCAAAACAAAACTTTCACTGGTTGAGGTTTCTGAGTTGGTGGGACACGTCTGAGACCCAAAGACGGCCTGTGTGCACTGGGCAGCCAGAGGAGGCACCAAAGTGGGATGAGGTCCTCAGGTTGGAGGCTTGCAAGGGGCTTAACAGGTGTGGCATGTGGTTGGGAGCAAGTGGGTGTGAGGCGCTTGTTCATCAGGAGTTTTGGGGAGCTACCTTTAGGATGTTCCCAAGGCTAACATTCCCTTGCTCTGCATGGACTTGGGTCTGAACATTCCTTATACTTCCTGTAGGACTATAAACTAGGCCAGTTCTAGAGGCTGAAGCCTCATTCCTTGCCCCAGGACCTGTCCCCTTTCGAGAGAGGGGGCTGTTTTTCTTTTATAGGGTCAGAGGTGTGTGCTGGATCCTCTTTATACCCTCCCTAGACAATCTCTCCCTTACCATCATTTGCTCCAGGAGAGGAGTGGCCAGAGAAGTAGGGGGATGACTGAGTGAAGGTGGTGGCCCAGGGTTCCAGGAGGTCACTTGAGGGGGACTCGGGGTGTGTGTGGGGGTGATGCTGCTGCTGCTGAGAGCCAGGACCCTTGCAGAGTAAGGGCTGGGGGGTTGAGTGGGCAGAGGGGGGCAGAGCTCACCACCTCCTCTCCGTACTGGACTATATCCTCTTGTGTGGAAGGCCTCTGGGGGAGAGTACACAGGATTACACAGACAGGTCTGTGAGAGTCCCCAGAGAAGCGGGGGTGGGGGGGCTTTGACAGACTCGAAGGAGGTGAGGGATGGAGCCATGGAGATATCTGAGTGATTCCAGAAGAAACAGCCAGCTCAAAGGTCCTGAGTGGGAGTGTGTGATTTGCTCGAAGTCTACGAAGGCGGTCAGTGTGGTTAGAGTGGTGTGAGCGAGAGGAAGAGAGGTAGAAGGTGAGGTCAGAGAGGAGACGCGGGGCTTAGACCCTGCAGGACTTTGTAGCCCATGGTAAGGACTTTGGCTTTTACTCTGAGTGAGGAGGAGGCCACAGGAGGGTTGTGAGTAGAGAAGAGACATGAACTGCCTTAGGATTTAAGAGGATCCCTCTGACTGCAGAGTATGGAACAGACTGTAGGAGTGAAGATGGAAGCAGGGGCACCAGACCTGAGGAGGCTACTGCAGTAGTCCAGTGACTGATGATGGTGCTGGCAATGGAGGGGGTGAGGGGAGGCTGGATTCACGAAACATTCTGAACGGAGAGTGCCCAGAATTTGCCGAAGGCTGAGAGCCTTGGGGCCAGACCGGGACACAGATAATGCCCTAACTAGAAGTAAGAAAAAACCCCTCCAATTCTATCTTGTTTAAGCCCCTATTCTTTTGTGATTTTTTTTTTCCTGTTGCTTGCAACTGAACATATTCCTTCCTGATCCATGACCCCACTCTGGACACTGAGACCTGAGGAGGGGGAGGCTACTGGGGGGACCTCCTCTCTCCTCAGGATGTCGCGTGTCAGCACCTTGCATACAGGAGGTGTTTGGAAAACCCTCCCAGGATGGAGGGGAAATGTACGAAGGGCCATGCTCAGTGGACAAAGCTACATTTCAGTTCTCACAGGAGGCAGGACCTCAAAGGAGAGTGAAAGGGTGAGGAAGCAGGAGCAGCGCTGTGGCAGAGGGAACGGCAGGAGCAGAGATGGGGGACAGAAAGAGGGAAGTGAGGCCACTTTGGGGTGTGGAGTGCCAGTGGGGCAAGAAAGGCAGGACTTTGGTTTGTGATTACATTAGATGTCTACCAACGTGTCCAACCAACTCCTGGCGCCATACAGTCAGGCTCAGTGTTTTGCTGAGCTGAAGTCTGAAAAAGCTCATTTTCCAGAAAAGGTCAATTTTTCATTTGGCCATTCATTCAACAATGGTGCCAAGTCCTGGAGAATGCTGAGGGTGACAATCAAGAACATTCTTGGCTAGTGGCATTGCTCAAGCAAAGGTTCCCAGGTGGGCAGGAAAGACCCAGTTACTGCGACAGGAGAGTCCGTTTTGCTTTCTTAGACCTCACACTAGGGTGCAGTCTAGGTCTTCAGGGACTCTGGGCATTTACAGCCCTGGGGCAAGGAGAAGTCACGGAGGGCTAAGGAGATGGTATATCCAACTACAAGAGGCATACTCTTCCCAACGGCTGCGTGCACTTCAGGGCTCTGCGGCCCAGCCACCCTACAGCCCAGACCGCCTCCTCTGGCCTCTTTATTGGCTGTTCCATCCCCTCCTTCACACAACCTCGAACACCCCGGTTGGCTCTGCTCTTGCCCGTTCCGCCTCCGTGTCCTTCCACCCCGCTAGACTTCGCAGCCTTGGCATTGGTTCATTTCGTTCTAGCCCTACCCTTTGAGGTCTCAACTGCCTTGATTCTGGCTCCCTCATTGGCTAGCCACCATCTCTCTTCCTAGCTCCCGCCTTCGCCGTCCACCCCCATTGGCCTTGCCCCTCCAGTCCCGCCTCCGAGGCCCTTACACCGCCTCTTGGGTCTCTTTCTAGCCTTCGTATTCGCTAGTTCAGCCCTAGCACCGCCTCTTGAAGGCATAGTGCAAGCTCACACGACTCCCCACCGGCTCGCTGTAGCCGTTATCTTTTCGTCATCTCCTCTACGCCACCGGCGCGTGGCTCCCCATTGGCTATTCGCGGTCTCTGTCTTCGTGTCCCAGCGCCTACGCAACCGAGGGATCTCCTGCTTTTCGGGCCCCGCTGCCCCCATCGCCTGTAGTCATTCCATTTTCCCCGCCGCACACATGCCGCTCCCGCTCACACTCCCGCACTAGCTGTCTTACTTTTGCTCTTTCCATGCCGGACCCCGCACCACCCGCATTGAGGCCGCCCCATTGATTCCCTGATCCTCCCGCCTCCTGCACCGCCCACTCTCGGGCATCCCCATTGGCTGCGTGCTTCTCCCGCACTCGCTTCACCGCTACGTCATCCGTGCGCGGCTCCCTATTGGCTTTCTGCTATACCTGTCTTCGTCTCACCGCCTACAGCCCCCGTGAGCCATACCCCCCCGCGCTGGCCTTCCCATTGGCTGCCCGCCCCTTCAGGCCCTGCCCCCGCCGGTCCCGCCACCGGTGCCGTCGGTGCCGCCGCCGCCGCCGATATGGCGCGCCCGGCCCCTGTGGAGCCCCCGCTGCGGCATCCCGCGCCCCCCTCGCCGGCCGCGGGCGAGCCCCGCACCTCTGTTGAGGCGGCGGTGGCCCCGCGGAGAGTGCTGTTCGCCGACGAGGCCCTGGGGCTGCCGCTGGCGCAGCTGCGCCGCTACCGGCCGTGGGGCGGGCCCGGGGCGGGCAAGATGGCGGCGGCGGCCGGGCAAGATGGCGACGGCGGCGGGGCTGACGAGGACGACGATGGCGAGGATGGGGATGAAGGGGAGGAGGAAGAGGAGGCTGGCCCTGCGCCCTCGCCGCTGTGCCCCGTCCCCGCTGGCGGGGGGTTTTACCTGGTGCCCACATTTTCGCTGCCGCCCGCGCCGGGCCGTCTGGAGCGCTTGGGGCGCGTCATGGTGGAGCTGGAGGCGCTGCTGCCGCCTCCCGGAGCGGTCCCCGGGGGTGCCGGGGTGTGGGTGCCTGGGGGGCGCCCGCCGGTGCTGCGCGGGTTGGTACGCGTGCTAAACCGCTCCTTCGAGAAGGCGGTGCACGTGCGGGCCTCACACGACGGCTGGGCTTCTTTCTGCGACCACCCAGCGCGCTACGTCCCGCGCAGCCCGCCGGGGGCAGGAGCGGGAGGACCAGGAGCAGGAGATCCCATCCTGGATCCCGGCCTGGGCCTGGGCTTGGGCCCTGGCCAGGCGTCCGCCTCCTCGCCCGACGACGGCGGCCGCACTGACCGCTTTGCCTTCCAGCTGCCCTTTGCTGAGGGCGCGGGCGATGGGGCGCGCCTGGACTTCGTGGTGCGCTATGAGACCCCCGAGGGCACTTTCTGGGCCAACAACCAAGGCCGCAACTACACAGTCCTGCTCCGGATCGCACCCGCTCCCACACCCACTGATGCCGAAGGGCTGCCCCAGCAGCAGCAGCTGCAGCAGCTGGAGCCACAGCCCGAGTGCCAGGGTCCCGTGGAGGCTGAGGCCAGGCAGCTGAAGAGCTGCATGAAGCCGGTGAGGCGCAGGTAATGTCTGCCAGCGCCACCTCCGCCAACGCAGGGCTGTGTCTAGGATGGAGGACCAGCATCCCGACCCCGGAACCCCTCAGGCCTGCTCTCCAGGACGGGGAGGAGGGCGCATTCAGGCAGTCCAAGAGTAATGGAGGCCAAACATGTGCTAGGCTCTGTTTTAATTACGGGGGTTTCATTCATTTATTGAATTCCACTGTAAAACCCTGAACAAGACAGACATCTTGCCTGCCCTCAAGGATCATGTAGGCTCCGGTGGGAGACGGTTTGAAAAAAACAAGCAAGCGGATAAGATACAGAGGGATAAGATAGTTGCTGAGAGGAGAGTGAAATAGGGTAAGGGGATAGTTGGGAGGGAATAGCTGCTTTCCCGTGTTCAGGGAAGGCCTTTAAGGAGGTGAGTCCTGGATGATGGGAAGAAGAGTCATGCGCAGATATCTGGGGGGTGGGGTGGGGAGAGTTTGTAGAAAAGGGAACAGGGAGGACTGTTCTGAGGAGGTGCCACTTAAACTGAACCCTGAATGATGGAGGAGTGGTTATGCACACGTACGGGAGCAAAGGTGTTCTAGGCAGAGGGAACTGAGTACAAAGGTCCTGAGGTGAGACTGAGCTTGGTGTGAATGGTGAGCAGTGTGCTGGAGTGGACAGAACTTCAGTGACCTAGTAGGGTGGACCAAGGGCCTTGCCAGTGGGGGACAGGGAATCTGATCCCCATTTGACAGAGCAGCAAACCGGGGTTCCAGAGGGAGAAACTGTTTGAGGAAGTGATGGCACCCTGCTTTTCCAGTTCCACCATGGCTGACCTTGAAGCCTGTGCATCTCTTTACTGTTACGTTCTAATCTAGTACGAGGCCTCCTGCAGGATTGAGGGGCTGAGTCTGTGCTCTCACAGGGAAGCAGTGACTGGCAGACGCAGAACCAGGTGGGCCTGGACTCAAAGCTCTTGTCCTTTGTTTTTGCCTGTGACCATTCAGAGCCTGGGAGAAGGGGCCAGTAAACCCCAGGAGGCCTCATAGGAGACTAGATTTTCTCAGCCAAGCTAGGAGTTCTTTGAAGGTAGCAGCTAGGCCTGATTCTTTTGGTGTGTGGAGGGGGTCACCTAAGCCTAGCCTGGGATAAGTAGAGTCTCTGTGCACGTGTGGGAAATGCACACATTTCTCTGCTTCTGGGAGGACTGGAAATGGGAATGGGAAAATGCGTTCTGGACCTTGTATATATGCTTGATCAGAAGCCTCTGGTTGCAGCAAGATGTTTGTGATCCTGGCAAGGCCTTAGGCTGTGAGTGAGTGGTTCAGAAAGGTCTAGCTTGGGGCTGGTGGGCGGGTGTGCCTGGGTATGTGAGCAAGCAGGCCAAGTACCCACTTACCGACCTGTGAGCCCCACAGTAATCTGAGACTTAGTCAAAAGGGGGCAGGCAGCATGCCTTTCCTTACAGAGTTAAGAGAATGGATTCTGACATCAGAGTGCCTCGGTTCAAATTGCAGCCCTGCCGTCTGTTGGCTTTGTGACCTCGGCTAACTCATTTAACCGCACCGTGGCTCAATACCCTCACCTGTAAAACAGACAGTTACAACACCTACTGCGGAGGAGACGAGTAAAAGCCCTCAGAACCAAATCTGGCTCGTAGCAGTGCCAGCAAGTGTTAGCTAGTGTTTATATTTAGGGACTCACACATACAGTTCCTTGGATACCCCTCCCAAACTCTGCTCTGCCCATCACCTGCTGTGTGGCCTTGCCTCAGTTTCTTCATCTGTAAGCCTCAGTCTTCTCATCTGCTAAAGGGGAATGACAGTCACTTTGGTTGGATTGAATGCAGCAAACATGGGCAAGGCACTGAAGGATGGTGGTAGCCGTGGAAGAGAATAGTGGCCAGCATTTACTGAGCTCTGTGCTGACAGCTTCGAGTCTGTGCTCGCCTGAGTCCTGCTGTGCGTGCTCTGTGGGGTATAGGCGCTCAGATTATGCACACTTAATAAAGGGGGAGACTGAGGTAGCTCAGGGAGGTGAGCCAGCTTAAGTCCACTCAGCTAGTGACAGGACCGGGGAGGACATGCTGGGACTTTTTTTTTTTTTTTTTTTACTACTCCTCTGGAAGGTCTGACAGGGTTCAGGAAGACTTCTGCATGTCATTCCTGGTGTTCCCAGCAGGTCATGCTTTCCTTTTAACTTCTCTCTCTCTCTCTCTCTCTCTGTCTCTATCACTCTTTTCTGTCTCTCTCTCTCGGCTTTTTTTGAGGTGTACAAAGTGTACTGATCTTAAGTATAGGGCTCAGTGGATTTTTACATACATATGCTCGTGTAGCCATCACCCAGCTCAAGGTTTGGAGTGGTCCCAGTGCCCAGAATCGCCTTCATTTCTGTCACTCTTCCCAAGTTGCTTCCCAGGTGGCTGTCGTGGGAGCCCTGTCTGCAAGATGTGACAGTTTGGGTAACAAGAGTTTGGTCATTTTAGAGTGTAAAAGGAAGAGAACCAGAGAAATCAAAAGCTCGCAGGGCCAAGGTGGGTGGAGAGGGTGTTTTTCTTTTAAAATACACGGGTGGTTTTAAGGAGAAATTGAAGCAGCCCGTTCAGACGATTGTTTTGGTATCTGGCCCCAGGTCTGTGGTTCCTAACATGACTTGTGATATTATTTTAAGTGGGCAGATGGCTTTTTGATAGCTTCTTTATCTTTTGATCTCAGCTCTTGCAAAGGGGAGGTTGGTGCTCATTGCAAGATCAGCGGTAAGATTTTCTTTGTAGGTCGGTGGCTTTCTTGGCGAGTACATTTCAACTTATTATTGTTTTAAAAGCTGTGTGCTGCCAGTGACTTGGAGCGCTGTTGAAGAACAGCTACCGCCTGCCACCCAGCCCTCTTGGGGCCGGTAGCCGATCTCAGGGGGGAAGGCCGAACGTGCAGGAGCCCCGTGGCAGAGGGCTTCTTCACAAGTGCCGGCTGCGGGCCCCCCCCGCCCCCCGTACCGGGCATGGCCACGTCAGGTGGGGGGCACAGGGGAAGTCTGTGGTAGCCATGGGGATACAGCTCAGAAACTGGAAAATGGCTGCATTCCCTGGATCGCTGGACCAGGCTTTTGAAAACTCTTAGGCTTCGAGATGATCCATCAACAAGCACTTGTTGAGGGCCTACTATGTGCTGGGCACGGTGCTAGGTTCCAACAGGGAAAAAGATGCAGACTGGTAGTAAGCTGTCAAAGGTTTTGTGGTCGAGCTGGGTGGGCGAGGCAGGGACGGAGGGCTTGGTGTGTGTGACGCTTGGCAGAGACCCTGCTCTGTGCTGGGCATTGTGCTGAGGGTTTGCGTGCAAAGGCCTCATCTAATCCTTTCAACATTCCCTGAGAGAGAGACTGTTTTATCCCTCTTTCCTGGATGAGCAAACTGAGGCTCCCAGAGTCCAGAGTCCTAGGGCTGGTGTCGGGAGGAGCCCTCCTGATCTGCCTTGGCTTAACACCCTTAGGAGGTGTCCTGTTCCTCTTAGAAAGAAAGACCAAGAAGGCCTCAGCATGGCCTTCAAGCACCCCCCTGCCCTGTCCCCCAGTCTGGCCTCCGCAGCTGCTAGTCTCACATCCCACTGTCCTCTGCCTTCTGAGCTTCTGTCACCGTGGTCTTAACAAGGTGCCTTGCCCCTTACTGCTTCAGGGCCTTTGCCCATGCTGTTTTCCATCACCGGGAATGTTGGTCCTGTGCTCCTTGCGGTCTCCTCGTTTTGATCCCTCGGTTCTAAGAGTGCTTCCCCTGGGAAGCCTGCCCATCCCAACATCCTCAGGCCCCGATGTTCTCATAGCATGGATCAGGCGAGCCCTGCCAGAGAATGTCACGTAGCAGAACAAGTGTGTGTTGCCACAACTTTAAGATCATTTCCCACCCTGCCTGGCAGTTTTAGTCTATTTTTCTGACCCACTCTTGTCTCCACCTTGCTGTGACTCTTTTCAAATGTTCTTTACCTTCAGACTTTACTTCCTGCTTCAAAAAACAAAACGAAGCCGTAAGAATGGAACTCCCCACAGCTCGCAGCCCCCAAACCTGCAAACTAAGTTCCCTCCCTTGTGTTACAGGGGAGGAGGGGGCCCTTTTACTCCCTCAGGCCAGTCCCCCCACTTGTGCCCTGGGTTCCGTTTCTGCTACCTGCTCCAGAACTTGACCCTTTCCCTCCTGGCAGCTTTTCACCGCCCTCCTCACTGATCCTCTCTCTTGGCCTTTATACATGCTAGCATCTCTACTGTCTGAAAAACCTGTCCTTTGACCTCCCCTCTGCCCCTGCTGCTCCTGGCCGGCATCTAACCGCCCCCCTCCCCTTCATTGCTGACCACCCTCTGAAGAGTTGCTGACACTCTCCTCCTCCATTTGCTTCAGCCCCCCACATCTACCAGATTCCAGAGGTGGCTTTTGGTTTTCTTCTTGAAGTGGCTGAGCACTCCTACTTAAAACACGATCTTTCCCTTTTCTTGGGACCACGCTCTGCTGCTTTTCCTCTTAACCCCCTGGCCCTTCTCCTTGCTCTTTCCTTCAGCCTCACATAGCCAGACTCGGTGTCTCCACTTGGCTGATGTCCCAAAGATGCGTCCCGCAGTTGAGATCGAATCCATCACCTCCCCAACAGTGTTCCAGAGTGGCCTCTCCCCGACCCCTCCCTTGCTTCTCTTCCTTCTAAGCATCCTAAGCCCATCCTGACCCTGGAGTCTGGGCCAGGGCCCTTTGTTCCAGGGCATTCTTCCTTTCCTGAAGGCACTGACCTCAGTTTGTAGTTAGACCTTCATTAGGGGATTATTGGATGACCCTCTCTGCCCTCTTAGTCTGTAAGCTCCGTGAGGGGTAGGGACATGGTCTGCTTTTTGTTCACCACTGTATTCCTGCAGGGCCTGCCACGGTGCCTGGCACTTAACAGGTGCTCAATAAATGTTTGTTGAAAGAATGAGTGTGAGTTATTTTTTTTAATGTCTTCCTCCACACGAAATTGTCAGCTTCCTAGTTGGGTGTGATCACCATTGTATCTCCAGGGTCTGTCAACTGGGCCGATGCACAGTAAGGCCTCAATGATTTTTAGGTCACCTGTTGCTGAATGGATGGGGACCCAACTTGCTGTCTGAGTCGGCAGTCTTAGGGGAAACCAGAACAATCAAAGTTGAGACAGGACAGGCCAAGGGCCATCTTGGTTGTCTGGAAAGTCAGGATTTAGTGAGAAAGCGATCCTCTTTTACTCCACAGACAATTGGTAGGGCATCATGGTTAAGGATGTGGACTAAGGCCACATGCTATGGAAGTGGCAGAGCTGGGCTCTGAGCCAGGGTGGTCCTGCTCTAGTTCCCCAGTTCTTAACGGCTGTACCAGGCTGGGTGGTGTGTCTTACCGGCGGGGCATTGCCAGGCAAGTTGCTTTCCTTTTCAGAGCCTCAGTTTCCCTCAGTGGGAATTTGGAGGGGATCGCTGTTTGTTAGCACTTTATAGGCGATGTTCCACTATTTGCTCAATCTACCCCACAGCCCTCTGAGAGAGCTATTACCGTTATACCTTCTTTATGGAGGAGGAAACTTGAGGCATCAAGAGGTTAAGTGACTTGCTCCAGGTCACACAGCTGGTAGGTGGCAGAGCTGAGGTTATTCAAAGTTACATGTCCTGACCCTTTATTGAACTGTGAAATCAACTTCCTGGATCCCAATGAATATTAAAAAGAACTAGCATAGGAAATAATCACTGTGTCTCACAACACGTAGTAAAGGTAAGTGCCGTTTCATTCAAAGAACAACTGTTTTCCAGTTCTCTATAAGTATGTATATTTACACGTGTATGGGTGTGCTGGCTTATGATGTAAAATGTATTTCTTACTGTGGGTCACCGCCAAATGAATGAAGTCACTGCCGTGAAGGAAGCTCATGACAACGATAAAGTGCTCTCCTTCCTCCCACCCCGCTGGATGGGCTCTAAGTCCCAGGTTGACACCGACACAGACCCTAGTTGGGGAAGGCAGAGCAATGCCCCCACAGAATGTGGTGGCTTTCACAGCCGCTTCAAACCCTGCTCTTTTCAGAAAGCAGATGGCTTGGGGTAACCGGGATTCCAAGTATCGTGGGGCAGGTTTCTGAGGCTACCTGACCCCTTGGAGAGTCAGCATTATCTTCGAGCTGACTACATGTGAGCTGGGGTCTGCTGAGTTTCCCTTTGGGTTTCAGCGCGTGACCCACTTAGGGCTGGCCAAGTTCTTGGAAAACGGCATCAGGGGTGCTCCCAGAGGACTCGGGGTGGTGGGGGCAGTGATGTGACTGCTCTGAAAGTCTGCTTTGCTCTTGCCTATTGGGGGTTGTCAGCCCTCCCCCGCTCGCACTCTGGCGATTGACATTTTTGTTCTGTCTCGGCTGGCCCAGGCTGGGGCCAATGGCACCTCTTTCTGAAATCTCACCTTCTGGTCTCCCCGGATGTCGTCTGAGGTCAGCAGTCATTGAGTTTCCTGATGGCAGGAGGAATTTCACGCCTAGGAGACTGGTGTGGCCCTTCTAGGCTGCACTGTCTTGACCAAGTGCACCCCAAGGATGCATCCCGGGTGCGGGCCCAGGTCCCCGGGCCTGTCCCCGGCCCACCATTTCCCTACTGCCCTTGAGGAGGTAGCACGTGGCATTTGTAGGGCTGGTGCCAAAAGAGCAGGTTTCCTTCTCGAAAACTAGCAAGCACCCTGGAGGTACAGTTTTGTTCTTAATCTCCTCCCTCGCCATTTTTCTAAGAACCCCTCTTCTCTGTTACTGATCAGTGAGTCAGTATACACTTGTACTCCATTTCTCTTACTATCCTCCTTTTGATTAAAGTCATAGCTGCCCCTGAATGTTTACTGTGAAAGACAGTTCAAGGATATTTAGGTTTTCTCTTTTTTTTTTAGCCCACAGTTTCGAACACTGTCTTCAAAATGGAGCCCTCTTTGGATTGTTATCAGTGTGGTGTGTAGTTAGTGGGTGTAGAGACACGGTTCCTTGAGCCTTAGTTTCCGCATTTGTAAAAAGGGAAGGGTGCTGCTTTGAAGGATAGATGTGAAGGTTTTCAAATGACTTGGTGTATCAATGAAAAGGGCCCACGTTGGAGGAGATGAACGATAAATGCTTGTGCCTTCGGCTTTCATCTCTCTGACTTCAGAGGTATGGAGAGTGCCCTGTGTACTTCTGCTGACTTTGTGGATCTTGGGATTGGCTGAATTGCTTGACCTGATTTTTGGAAGCTCCCCCTCTTCTCACGCTCCTCAGCTGCAGAAGAGATGCTCTGGGGGCTGAGAGATTTGTTTTATATTTGTTTTTCTTCTCTCTCTTCTTCCTTCAGCTGAACTGTGGAATTCTTTTCCTTCTGGTTGGCTGCATCCCGTGTCCCCCCCACCCCAACCCCCGCTTTTTCTCTCTCACATACATCTAGGACTCTGGAATGGTATTTCAGAGCCTGGTTGTGCATGTCAACATTGGGCCAGATGGCAGGAGATGGCTTGCCTAGTCCTGCCCCTGGGAGGGAGGGCTGCCCTTCTGTTTGTGGGTCTTCTTGAAGAAGCTTGCTTTAGAAGATCCTAGAAAGGTGACATTTTCTCTAACAAAGGACTACGCCAGCAAAAGAAGTCCGTAGAAATCGTGTTGGGCCCACAAGCCCAAGGACCTGGATTTTAAACTTACTGGGAGGACTGGTGCAGGACCAAGCTGGTTTGTTCCAAATCCCCCTTTCTTATCTGTGATGCTCGGGAGTTGGTGGCCAGGCTTCTGGAGTCACTCACTCCAGGGCCTTGTAATATTCAGATTCGACGGCCCCTTCTGGAGCTTCCAGACTCTAGATCCATGTACCTGGCTCAAATTTCCTCCCTGAGGGAACTTGCCGCCACTTCCGTGTCTGGTGGTCACCTAGCCACGTGTCCCACGAAGGCAGGGAAACTGGGAATGAATATATGGGCAAAAGGCAGGTCCAAAGAAAAGCCTGAATGAAAGAGGAGGGAGAGATCTTGTCTGTTATTGCTGCCCCCCTCTATCTACTTCTGGAAAGGATCGGAGATGGGGTTGGGGTAAGACCCCAGTTTCCCTTGTCCGGGAAGTGGCAGTTTGTTGATCGAGAGCCTGGATTTAGACATGGGAGCTAGAAGGCTTAGGTTTCGGTCCTCGCTGCCTGACCTTGAGCTGGTTTCCTCGGCTTCCACGTCATCATCTGCGAGACGCGGATAATAATACTACGTACTTCACAGGATTAAAAGTACCTACCTCACAGGATTGTCGTGAGGATTGCATTAATATACGCGAAAGCACACAGAACAGTGCCGAACATCATAGTAGGTATTCTATTCAGGTCAGCTAGTGATCCTCGGCTTTTGTGAGGTAATTGATTATGTGTTTTCAAAAAGTTGCAACCGTCTGCAGAAATGTCAACATCATCGTATTACCTTTTCGGAACGAAAAGGTCTGAGCAATTGCCTCAGCTCCTCTCAGTCTCTGCTCATGTTTTTGTTAACGCTTCCCTCTCATTTGCCTTCATCGGTAAACATTTGGTACTCATTTCTGAGAATGAGAACAGCGATTTCTCCATGATCCCTGTGACCCCACCCCTGGCAGAGACTGGCTGAAATACACTTGCCTTATGCCACTTAGACCTCGGGGCCTGACTTGCCTGGCGGAGGAGGACCAACTTTAATGAATATCTGCCGTCGATTCAGCCCCCGCTCCGTGCCAGGCCCCGGTGTCTGCCTCGATGGCCTTGACTGCCCTGTGCTTGGTGTGCACATCCTGGCTGTCCTGTGCTCTGTTTTAAGGTGAGGAGGGTGAGGCTCCGAAAGGTTAGGTGGTCGGCCAGGCTGATAGGGTGACGGGTGGAGGATTGGTGGAGGGACCCAGGTCTTTGTGAGCCCGGGTTACTTCCTTTTTCTGCTGGCCTCCGTGCTGTTCTCCAGTTGCTTCCTTCCTCCCACTTGCTGCTTTCTGAGTCCCCCAGTCCTCACCTGCCCTCTCTTGGAAAAAGCGGGTCCCTCTACGGCTAGGGATATACCCTAAAGAAACGATCCAAAATGCTCCTAAAGCCATGCCCAATAAGGTCTGCTGGCGTCTGCTTCGTGGGAGCAAAACGAAGGCCACAACCTAGCCGCTCAGGAGGACGGGAACGGGTTACGTACGTTCCGGTGAGCCGCTGTGAGCGTAAACAGCCATTTCAAATGTTGACAAAAGGGTATATGCTTCTGCTTACGGTTAGGGACAGAGCCAGCTGCGAAATGCCGTCTGCAGAACCTAAGTTGGTTTTGTAGAATATCTGGAATGAACTTTTCCAACATGGTACTAGTGTTGGCCTCTAGCTGATGTGTGACTTTTTCCCTTCTTTACGCTTTCCTGTGTTTCATAACATTTCTACAACACGTCTGTAGGACTTTTCTAATGGGGGGAGTAAAAAGGTGTCAGGAGGGAAGACGGCCACTGTCGCCTAGGAGTGGGCCACCACAGAGGCTCGGAAGGTGCTGGTGGGTGGCAGAACTGGCCTCTCGGGACACCAGATCCATGCATTCTCCCCTTTGTCCCACTCCCCAGGCCTACTGAGGAAGAGCTGAGGATGAAGAGTGCGAAGGACAGCACCCCTGCTATGGGTAAGCACTTGGCGGGCTGTGGGGGTTTTAGCTTATGTTAACCGTTTGCTTTCTTTCTCTCTGTTTTCTCTATACGAATTAGGAGGTTCCCTCTGTCTTAGACTGTCACGGAAAGCCTCAGAGGCAAAGCTGCCAAGTAGCCCCAAGAGCAGCCTTTCCTAACTAAACCAGGCCTGCTTGCACACCCGCCTCACCCCAACACTACCCTTCTCTTCTCTCCAGCAGAGCGCCCTAGTGTCCAGGAGTCGGTGGGTCCCCTGGTGGCCCCCACCCCTCTCCGTCCATGGCCTCAGATGACGCTTCAGGTAAGCAGGCCCCGGCAGCCTGTGGATGGACAGCCCAATGGGAGACCGGGTGGCGGGGGCCGACTTGCTCCAGGTCTACCCTAGGTCGGAGGGAGGCCCCCCAAAGCAGAACCCGATGGCGGAGGGACAGAGTGCAGTTATTCACCTGAGTCTTTGGTACGTTAGCAAATATTTACTGGGTGCTTGCGCTGTGCCAAGCAGTTCTGGGCCCTGGGAATATGGTAGTGACCAAAAAAGCTGTCTTCCCGGGGCTTATTTATATTTTGGTGGAGAGAGACAGGACAAAACAAAATAATAGTTAAAATATACGCTATTTTAGATGATGATGGTGCTAAGGAAAAAAATGAAAGGGATGGGGAGTGGGTGTGTGTCTCACACGTGTGTGCACGTGCGTGCGCGCGTGCACACACACACACACACGGGGGGTGGGGGGAAGGTTTATGAGTTTAGAACAGGTGGCCAGGGGAGGCCTTCGTGGTAAGTGAGATTTGAGCAAAGATCTGGAGAAGGTGAGAGTGAACCACATGGGTTACTAGGGGAAGAACATCCCAGGCAGGTGCAAAGTTCCCCAGGCAGGGCCATGACGAATGTGTGAGGAACAGAGAGGAGCAGTGTGTATGTGGGGGGGTGGGGGGCAGCAGGAGGTGAGGTCAGACAGCGGGTTGGGGACAGATCATGTAGGGTCTCCTGGGCCTTGGAGAGAACTCTGGCTTTTACTCTGAGTGACTGGAGAGCAGGAGGTCGTGAGCGGAGGAGGGCCCGTGATCTGACTTAGGATTTAACAGGCTCCCTCTGGCTGTTGTGAGGACAGTAGGCTGTAGGGGCAGAAGCAGGGGGGACCGTGAGGGGGAGGCTACTGCAGAGGTCCGGGCCAGCAATGCCGGCAGGGGAGATAGATTCTGGAGATGTATGTTTGTGTGTGTGTGTGTTTTAGTACAAAGGTTTTCAAACAGACACAGAAGGAAAGAGACTAGTATAATGAACTCACATATGCCTGTCACCCAGCTTCAACGAATTTCAACACATGTCCGTTCCTACTTTTTCCATACCCCCTCCGCTCCTCCCTTGCCTATGGAATTATTTTGGAAAAAAATCCAGACATTAGCTCATCCACAAATATTTCAGTTTGTACCTCAGAAAATTAAGCACTTGTTAAAAAACAAACCAAAACAAAACAATCCCGACAATGCAGCATCACGCCTCGGGAAATCAACAGTCAGTCTTTAGTATCATCAAATATTTGATCAGTGTTCAAATTTCCTTATCTCATAGGTGTTGTAGGTTCCAAACCAGGTCAACACATTGCATTGGGTGGATGGGTCTTTTTTAGATATTTAAATCTCCCTCACTTTTCTGGCAGTTTGTTTGTTGGAGAAACCTTGTTTGTCCTGTAGAGTTTCCCACAGGCTGGTTTTGGCTGATTGCATCACATGGAAACACATTGCTTACTCTTTTTATTAATATGCTAATTCCATTTAATTAATGTGATCTATTAAATTTAATTTACTTTATTAAACTATCAATTTTGTTAAATTGATTTATTAAATACAATCTATTATTATGAAACTAATTTAACTAGAATTGATTCTATTTAATTCTCTTATTCCCATTTCATTTAGTAACTGGAACTCTTCTCTAAAGAAAAACTTTCTCATATCAACCGTTTGGCTGCCTTGAACATATATAGTTCGTATTGAAAAAGCTGTATAAATGCTTAATTTTTTCCCTTTTATTTACCAATCTTCAGAAGAAGTGAACTTCTCCAAAGGTGACCAACTAAAGGATTTTTGGTTTTGGTGTATTATTACTAACTCATGAATTTTAAACATATTTGCTAAGTTTCAACCCATTGCACTTATTTATTTATTTTGATGTTTAAATTGAACTCTCTCCGGTCAGTGGGAGCTTGTTTACATTGGTTCCAGAGTCCTTTTGAACACATCCCCATTATTCTTGGACCACTCCTTCACATTCTAGAATGACAATGTGTCCTAGATTCATCTCGTGCTCGCCCTGCCCCAAACCTGGGAGCAGCCATTTAGTTAGAAAGCTCTGGTTCCTTTTAGGGGAGAACCGTATTTAGAAAGCAGGATCTGGGTGCTCAGTGTGCTTGTTGCTGCTAGATAGGCCATTGTTTCTAGGCCTTGTCAAAATAAATGTTTTTGAAAGAGAAAATACATGAATTCATGTGGATATTCTGGATCTGTTTTAGAGGTTAGCCGACAGTATTTACTGAGAGCTATTCACCAAATGTTGGTGCCCGCTGCCTTCCTTAGCTTTATGATCTGCAGGAGTCCCCTTTTACTCCATCTGATTTGGTTATTTTAATATAGATGACAGGCTTTAGTGTTTGGAGAATTAGAGAGGGCTCTTTAAGGGGGGTTTTATCTGGAAACACCTGTGGGGCTGGGTGTGGGCCGTCGCGCACTCTCACTGTCTCTGCTTGTCCCCTCCCCTCCTCTACTTCATTCCTTTCCCTTTCTCTCCCCTCCTGCCCTGCCCCCCGCCCAATGGCTCTAGGTTTCTGAAGTTACAGTGTCTGGCAAACCCCCAGAGGAAGGTGACGTCCCCAGAAGCAATCCGCCTGTGGCTTTCACGGAGGTCCCCCAGGCACCGGCCATCAGGATCCTCCCCTCTTCCTCTCTCTGTGGCCTGGGTGGCTCCCCCAGGGACCAGGCCTCGGGGCCCGATGCAAGTGAGGGGGCAGCCGGGCCTCTCCTGGAACCCAGCCAGCAACAGGTGGAGGCCACATGGGAAGTATCGAGAGAGAATGGAGGGGGCCGAAAGGACTCCGTGGTGGGGGCCGTTGTGGATGAACCCCCTGGGGGTCTGGAGGTGGTGAGTGGGTCGGAGGAGCTGCTTGGCGAGGACACCATCGACCAGGAGCTGGAGCAGCTCTACCTGTCCCACCTGAGCCGCCTGAGGGCTGCTGTGGCTGCAGGTGGGGCAGGGGCTGGCGGGGAGGGCCCCACAGATGGGGGGGTATCCCCCAGCCATGCCCCGGGCATGCTCACGGACCGCGACCTGATCTTGAAGTGGCCTGGCCCCGAGCGGGCCCTGAACAGCGCCCTGGCGGAGGAGATCACACTGCACTATGCGCGGCTGGGGCGTGGTGTGGAGCTTATCAAGGACACTGAGGACCCTGACGAGGAGGGGGAGGGCGAAGAGGGACTCTCCGTTATACCCCCCAGCCCCGAAGGGGACACCCCCAAGGAATCACCTCCGGAAATCCTCTCGGGGGCCCATTCTGTGGTAGCCACCATGGGAGATGTGTGGCTCCCGTGGGCAGAGGGCTCGGGTTGTGACAGCCCCGTGGTTCTGGGTGCGGAGGGTCAGTTCACTGGGGCTCCAGAAAAGGGCATGGGCAAGGACACCGACTCTTTGCGTATAAGTAGGGTGACAGCTGGGGTGACCGGCTCCCCAGGGGGGAAGCAAGGCCGGATGGAGTTTACCACCGAGTGGGCAGACAGCTTGGTTCCTATACCTGGTAAGGAGCTAGCTGCCCCAGTCCTACGGGGGCAAAGTGTCACCCTCCTTGGTCCCTCCGGGGCCGAAGTCTGTCCTTCTGGCCTGGCCAGGCCGCACGTGAGCTCCCAGGATGAGGAGGGTTCAGGCCCAAGCCTTGAGCCCCCAAAGAAGTCTCCCACCTTAGCAGCCCCTGCAGAATGTGTGTGTGTATTTCCTCCCCAGCTCCGGGGGCCCTTGACCCAGACTCTGGGGGTCCTGGCTGGGTTGGTGGTGGTCCCTGTGGCTCTGAACAGTGGTATGTCCCTCCTGGTGCTTGCGCTGTGCCTCTCTCTGGCCTGGTTCTCGTAGAGGCTGCTTGTGGGGGGGCAGCAATAACAGGCTTCCCCCCCTCTCTGGGGTGTGGGGAGAGGCAGTCGCTACACTCCCCCCCCAGGGGATTCAGATATGATGTGTGGCCTGTATAGTCAGGGCTCTTTTGCTTCTGAGAATGCCCGACTGGAGAGAGACCTTCCGGTCCCTGAGGACTTGTTGGCCCGGGGCTCCCTGCGGTGATACCGGTGGAGGGGAACGGGGCACGGTGGATGGTATGAGATAACTTCAGAGAGGAGCTGGGCATGTCCTCCCTTCCCCCCCCCCGCCCCCGCCCAAGCCTGTATTTATTTTTGTATAATTCTCTGGATGAGGGAGAGTGGTCGTGAGCTGGTCTTGGGGCACAATTACCCAGAGATATATTTATTAACAGCCAACCTGTGCAACCTGCTGGAGCTTTATTTTTAATTTAATTTATATAGAGTACCTATTATTATATGCCACAATAGAGCTCTATGAGAAATGATGTGTCTTGCTGTACAGTGTTCTCCTGTTTGGGCCTGAGTGTGTGGGGTGGTCATGTTCTGTGGGAGGGGCAGGGTGGGGAGTTGGGCGTGGGACACGTTCATGCCTGCTGCCACGGCTTCAATATGTGTCACCTCACCTTTATGGTCCTACCCCCTGTGGTCCAGTGGTCTTTGGAGGGGCGGGTCCTTCGGTATTTTCTATATTCTGCCAGGGAGGGAGGAAGAATGATTGATTGCCATATGAGGGTTTGGTGTGCAACACGTGGCCGCAGCGGTGGATGTGGGAATACCGGCTGTGAATCAGCCACAAGGTTTTGAGGTTCCTGGGGAAAAAAAAAAAAAAAAGCCTTTGACACCAAGAAGGAGACCCCTCTGTCCCCAAGATTGGAAAGGTCTCACAAGGGACAGAGGAGTTAATGTGCTGTGAAGAATTCATACCAGAGTTGTTGTCCACAGATTTTGCCTTTCTAACTCAAAACAGGAAACCCAGAAGCTTTGAAAGAAAGGATAGATATATTTACTGCATGCAAATAAAAATCTCTGCATTAGCAAAACAAAACACCATATATTTATTTACTTCCCTTCACAGCAAAACTTTACACCAGCTTTCTTCCATTCTTCTCCAGGGCTCCAGGGCTTTTCTGAAACAGCCCCAATCAGATTGTTTGCCCAGCCACTTCAGCAAAGTGCTGAAGTCACTGGTGATATAGGATTGGTCTATCAACAGCCACATCCCAGTCTTCATCTTCCTTGACCCATTGGCAACATTTTACACAGTTGAGCATCCTCGCAACCTTGAAATCTCTCTTTACTTGGTTTCCAGGACACCACACTTGCTTAGTTTTCCTCTTTCCTCGTTGGCCACTCTTCTAGAACAGTGCCTGGCACCTAGTAAGTCCTCAATAAATGCCTACTGAATGAAATAAATGATGGAACAAATAAAGGGATGTGGGAAAATACAGAGACATGGTTAGAGAACTTGGTTGGGCATTCAGTGGTGACAAGCTCAGTTCAGTTCCACAAATGTTGACTGACCACCTCTCCTCTGCTCTGAGGACACGGGAAGGATCTTACAGTCTAGTGGGGGAGACAGATACAGAGAAAGGATTTTAGCACACTGTGGTTAGCGCATTAGCAGCGATGGAGGCCTCAGAACAGATGGTCAGCCCAGCGTGGGGACTTTGGAAACCTTTTTGGAGGGCATGGTGCCTGAACTGAATTAAAAAATGAGAAGGAATCCACCAGGTAGTGAAGGGGAAGAGAGGGTAGCCCAGTCAGAAGGAATAGCATTGCAGAGGTCTGGAAGTAGAAAACAGGTACTGAAAACAAATTCAACCCACTCATTTTATCTGTCTTTCAATGAGGATATTCTCACTTGGTCAAATACCAAAGTCCAAACATGTGTCCATGGTCTTCCATTGATGTGATAATTTGCTCAATGTCCAAAAAGGCAACTTTCTGCCAACTGGATTGAGAAGTTAGATATAATGGACAAATTAGTCAAATTACTACAAACATGTAACTTGCCAAAACTGTCTCAAAAAAAAAAAAAAAAAGAGGAAAGGTTGAGTGGTCCTATGACCATTAAAGTAACAGAACCTATAGCCAGAAGTCTTCCCACACAGAAACTCTGGGCCCAGGTGGCTTCACTGGTGAAACACTCAAGGAACAAATCATTCTGATTTTACAAAAGGGATTCCCTAGCGCCATAAAAGGGAGCGTTTCTAATTCGTTTTATGGGGCTGATAGAACATTGATACTAAAACTTGATGAGTGAAAAAAGAATATTACAGATCTCAAGAAAATGTACAAATACCTTAAACTAAATAGCTGCCTGTCTTGGTCTGCTTAGGCAGCTATAACAAAATAGTGTAGACTAGGTGGCTTGAAAACAACGAGCATTTATTTCTCACAGTGCCAGAGGCTGGGAAGTTGAAGATCAAAACACCTGCAGATTTGGGGTCTAGTGGGGACCAACGTCCTGGTTCATAGATGGCTGTCTTCTTGTGGTGTCTTCACATAGTGAAGGGGCAAAGTTACTCTTTGGGGTTTTTTTTTTTTTAACGATTTTATTTATTTGACAGAGACACAGCAAGAGAGGGAACACAGCAGGGGGAGTGGGAGAGGAAGAAGCAGGCTTCCCGTGGAGCAGGGAGCCCGACGCGGGGCTCGATCCCAGGACCCTGGGATCATGACCTGAGCCTAAGGCAGACGCTTAACCGACTGAGCCACCCAGGCGCCCCTAGGGTTTCTTATAAGGGCACTCATCCCATTCATGAAGCCTCCACCCTCATGATCTAATCATCTCCCAAAGGCCCCACCTCCTAATACCATCACATTGGGGATTACATTTCAACATAAACTTGTGAGGGGACACAATCATTCAGTCTCTAGCACTGCCTACATCCAATATATTTAAAAAGTGTAATATAACCAAGTTGGATTTATTCTAAAACTGCAACGTGGTTTAACATTTGAACTCAGTCAACAAAAGTTTATTCATTAACATATTAAAGGAAAAACCACAATAATCTCAATAAGTATAGAGAAAGGGTTGGATAAAATTTAACATCTATTCATGATTTTATTTTTTGAAGGATTTTAGTTATTTGTTTGAGAGGGGTGGGAGGAGCAGAAGGACAAGGACAAGCAGACTCCACACTGAGTGCAGAGCCTGTCGTGGGGCCCAATCCCACAACCCCGAAATTATGACCTGAGCCGAAATCAAGACTTGGATGCTTAACTGACTGAGCCACCCAGGTGCCCCTCTATTCTTGATTTTAAAAACCTTAGCAAGGGACACCTGGGTGGCTCAGTCGATTGAGCATCGGATTCTTGATCTCGGCTCAGGTCTTGATCTCAGGGTTGTAAGTCCAAGTCTGGAGTTGGGCTCCACACTGGGCGTGGAGCCGACTTAAAAAAAAAAAAAACCTTAGCAAATTAGTTGAATACATTTTCTTTTTTTAATTTAATTTTTAAAAATTTTTATTTATTTAATAGAGAGAGAGAGAGGGAACACAAGCAGGGGGAGTGGGAGAGGGAGAAGCAGGCTTCCCACTGAGCAGGGAGCCCGATGCGGGGCTTGATCCCAGGATCCCGGGATCATGACCTGAGCTGAAGGCAGATGCTTAACGACTGAGCCACTCAGGCGCCCCAGGTGAATACATTTTCTTAACATAAACGGTATCTATCTATAAGGATTTATAGTAAACTACATACTTCAAATGAAATTTTAAGAGCTCTGACATTTGGAACGTGGCAAGGATGCCTGCTATCACCATTTCTACTCAGCATTGTACTGGAGGTCCTAGCAAGCACAGTAAGGCAAGGAAAGGCAAGGAAAAGAAATTAAAAATATTTAAAGATTGGAAATGAAGAACAGAATTGTCATTATTTGTAGATGATACCATCGACAAATTATTAGAATTATTAAGAATTTAAAAAGATTTCTGATACAAAAATGCACATTCAAAAATCAATTGCTTTTATATGCTAACAACAGACAAAATTTTAATAAAGATACCATTTATGGACTACTTAGAAATTAACAAAAGAGGGCAAGATCTTTTTTTTTTTTAAAGATTTTATTTTGGGGGCACCTGGGTGGCTCAGTCGGTTAAGTGTCTGCTTTCAGCTCAGGTCATGATCCTGGGGTCCTGGGATCGAGCCACTAGTTGGGCTCCGTGCTCAGCGGGGAGCCTGCTTCTCCCTCTCCCTCTGCTGCTCCCCCTGCTTATGCGCTCTTTCTCTGCCAGATAAATAAATAAAAAAAAATAAAAGATTTTAATTTTTTAAAGATTTTATTTATTTATTTGACACAGAGAGAGAGAGAGCACAAGCAGGGGGAGCGGCAGGCATAGGGAGAGGGAAAAGCAGGCTCCCCACTGAACAAGGAGCCCGATGCGGGGCTCGATCCCAGGACCCCAGGATCATGACCTGAGCCGAAGGCAGCCGCTTAACCGACTGAGCCACCCAGGCGCCCCTAAAAGATTTTATTTTTAAGTAATCTCCACACCCAACGTGGGGCTCGAACTCAAAACCCCGAGATCAAGAGTTACATGCTCTACCAACTGAGCCAGCCAGGCGCCCCAAGAGGGCAAGGTCTTTTAGTAAAAAAATATAAAACCTTACTGAAAGACATTTTAAAAGATTAAATAAATAGATACACATGTTATTGAATGAAAGAGTCAATGTCATAAAGCTGTCAGTTCCCTCTGAACTGTTTTGTAGGTTCAATGTAAATCCAGGCACGATTTCAATAGATTTGCGTGTCTGCGTATCAAAACAGGTTAGTTCTTAAATTTATGTGGAAGTGCCAACTAGCCAGAACACCCATACTTAATGTAGGGTAGAGCAATTAAGCTGGTGTGATATTGCTGCAAAGGTAGACAAATAGACTAATGAAAGACCAGTGGTCTCAGAAACAGACCCACTTATATGTAGACTCAGAATAGGTAGCCAAGGAGGTATTGTGAGACCAGCAGGAAATGGTTGGACTTTCAATAAATGGAACAATCTGTTATCCATATTGAAAAAAAATGAAATTGGATCCTTACAACACAAAAATAACTCTAGGCAGATTCAAAACCTAAATGTGAGAAGCAAAACCAAAGAGCTTTAAGGATTTAATATAGAGGGGTACCTGGGTGGCTCAGTCGGTTAAGCCTCTGCCTTCAGCTCAGGTCATGATCTCAGGGTCCTGGGATCGAGTCCCGCATCGGGCTCCCTGATCTGCAGGGAGTCTGCTTCTCTCTCTCCCTCTGCTACTCTCTCTCTCTCTGTTAAATAAATGGGTAAAATCTTAAAAAGAAAAAAAGAATTTAATATAGAAAAATACCTTCATAGGGCGCCTGGGTGGCTCAGTTGGTTAAGCGACTGCCTTCATCTCAGGTCACGATCCTGGAGTCCCGGGATCGAGTCCCGCATCGGGCTCCCTGCTCAGCGGGGAAGTCTGCTTCTCCCTCTGACCCTCCTCCCTCTCATGCTTTCTGTCTTTCATTCTCTCTCTCTCAAATAAATAAATAAAATCTTTAAAAAAAAAAAAAAAGAAAAATACCTTCATATACTCATGGTAGAAAAATTTTTCTTAAACAAGACACAAAACACTAACCATAAATGACAATTATAAAACACTCAATTACTTTAAAATTAAGAATGTCTATTGATCAAAAAACACCATAGAGTGAAAGCCACAAATTGGGATGCAAATTGAGAGAAGATAATTCAAACACAATTAACTGATGAAAAACTCAAACCTAGAATATATTAAAAACTACAAATAGAAAAACCAGATGTGCGGGGCGCCTGGGTGGCTCAGTCGGTTAAGCGGCTGCCTTCGGCTCAGGCCACGATCCCAGAGTCCTGGGATCGAACCCCACGTAGGGCTCCCTGCTCAGTGGAGAGCCTGCTTCTCCCTCTCCCTCTGCGTGCCTTTCTGCCTACTTGTGCTCTCTCTCTATCTCTCTGTCAAATAAATAAATAAAATCTTAAAAAAAAAAAGAAAAACCAGATGTGCTATGAAATGTATAGATAAATTATATATTCACAGAATGGAATATTGTATAAT